GTGCATGGTATTGTGAATATTTTCTCCCAAACTGTGACTTGCTATTTATCAATGGTGTCTTCTGAAGAATGGAAGATTTTGATTTTGATGAAGTCCAGTTTATCCATTTTTTTCTTTTATGGTTAATGTTTTCTGTGTTGTAAGAAATCTTTGCCTATGCCAAGACTGCAAAAAATATTCTCCCATGTTATCTTCATGAAGTGTGTTAGTTTCAGCTTAGGCCTGCCATCCACCTCAAACTGATTTTTGTGTATGGTGTAATGGAGGGGTTTGGGTTCGTCTACCCCATGTGGACATCCAGGTGTTCCAGCATCATTTGTGGAAAAGACTTTTCTTTGTCAGTGGAATTGACTTGGTGCCTTGTCCAAAAGTCATTTGGCCATGATTCCAGTGTGGGACTGTTTCCGGACCCTCCAATCCACTCCATCGCTATCGCTGTCCATCCTCATGCCTACACCACACCATCCTGATCACTGTGTCTTCTGGGAAGTCTTGGAACAAGCAGTGTTCTTATTCTTGTTCAAGATTTTACTCTTTATTCAAGATTGTTCTGGCTATCCTAGGACCTTGGCACGTCCATATAAATCGAAGAATCAGTTCATCAGTTTCTAAACAGAAAATCCTTCTAGGACTATGTTTGGGGTTGCATGAAGCCTACCGGTCAATCTGGGGACAAGTGACAGCTGAGCATCACGGAGACTGTTGATCCACAAACATGATGTGTCCGTCTACTCAAGTCTTCTTCCATTTCTCTTGGCAATGTCTGGGAGCTTTCAGGGTACAAGTATTGCACTTCTTCTTTGAAAATTTCCTAAGTATTTTATGGTTTTGGATGTTATCATTAATGCTCTATCTTAAATTTTCATTTTCCAACAGTTTTTGCTAGATATTGTTGGTTTTGTACACTGGCCTTGAATCCTGCACTGTGGTTAAATTCACTCATTAGTTCCAGGGCCCCTGTGATCTCCTATGTACATGTGAATGCAGAGAATTTTACTTCTTCTGTTCCAATCTTCAGGGCTTTTACTACTTTCCTTGCTTTATCGCACAAGCTAAGATCTTCAATACCCTGTCAAGCAGACACAATGAGGGTGGACACCTGTCTTGTTCTTACGGGAAAAACGCTCAGTCTTTCACCATCGAGTATGGTGATAGCTGGAGGTAGTTTACATAGTTCTCTTTCATCAGGTGGGAAGTTTCCTTCTATTCCTAGTTTGCTGATAATTTTTTGTTGTTGTTGTGAATGAGTGTTTAACTTTGTCTAATGCTTTTTCTACCTTGATTAAGATGATCGCATCATTTTATATGTCTCTCCCGTAATCTGGTAATTTGGCGAATTACATCAACTCATTTGTGTCCAGCCAGTCTTGCATTCTGAGGACAATCCCGCTCGCTCTTGATGCGTTATGCTCCTCATGCTCTGCTGGATTCATTTGCTAATAATTCCTTAAGAATTCTTCTCTGCGCTCTTAAAGAATATTGCTCTGTAATTTCCTCTTCTTGGCATATCTGTGCCTTCGCTGGCCTCAGAACAATGACTGGGAAGGGCTGCCCTCTGCCCTCTGAATGAGCGCACAGGATCCTTACTGTGTCCCCCCTGAGCACATCACAGAACTCATCAGTGAGGACTCCTGGGCCCGGGACTTTCTCAGGGGGCAGCTGCTTTTTGTTTGTTTGTTTCAATGACCTCAATTTATGAAACTATTCAGATTTTCTGTTTCTTCTTCTGTCAGTGCTGCTAATCTATGCCTTTGAAGGAATTTAACCATTTCATCTAATTGCCTACGTTATGTGCATAAAATTGCTCATGTGATTTCTCTTTAACTTTTTATTTTGATAAATCTCAGACTTCAAAAAAGCTGTAAAACAGTCTGGAGTTCCTGTACGACTGTCACTATGAATTCAATTCTATTAAACCACCAACCTCACTTGGACTGCGCCAGTTTTCCCACAAATGCCTCTTTTCTGTCCCAGGGACAGTCCAGGGTGCCACTCTCGTGTTCCCAGAGTCCGACAGTTCCTCGGTCTTCAGTTGCATTTCATGACTTTGATACTTGAGAATGCTGGTGAGTAATTTTGAAGAACGTCCCTCAGTTGGGGTTTGTCTGACGTTTTCTCATAATTTGATAAGAGCTGTGCATTTTGCAAGACTGCAACAGAAGTGAGACGTGTCCCTCTGTGCACAGATCCCTCCTTTCTGAACCCTGTCCCCTAAGTCCAGCAGGATTCGGAGCTGAGGGAGGACCTACGACCTTCCACCAACTTTCACTCCATCCACTCGGCAATGCTTTCCCCTCTGCCTGCCCCCTACCCCGTCTCCTCCTCTGCCTGCCCCCCGCCTCCCCAAGTCTCCCCCTCTGCCTGACCGCCACCCCCCTGGGTCTCCCCTCTGCCAGCCGCCCCTCTCTGGGTCTCCCTCTCTGCCTGCCCCCTGCCTCCCCGGGTCTCCCCCACTGCCTGCCCACCCACAGAGTCTCCCCTTTTGCCCCCCCACTCCCTGCAGAGAGCCAGGCAGTCGAGGGGCCCACCTTATGGGTTTCCCTCTGGCCCCCCATCCCACACTGTCTGCTGTCCAACGTGAGGACAGCTGTGTCATGCACTGTGTCCAGTTTCAGCTGTCTACAGAGAGCAGGGTCACCCCAGGCCACCTCCCGACACGGCCCCACACAGCACTCCAGGGCTCAGAAGAGCTAAACATGTGGAAGCCTAGGACAGGGGGGCCACACCGACGCAGCTTGGGTGTTGGGAAGACCAGGCCTGTGTGGCACCTCGGCCACCCCGCTCCAGGTAGGATCCCTTGGAGACTGAGCCCTGAATCAGCTGCCATCTTCAGGGCATATGAGCCCTGGGCGCCGTCCAAGGGTCAGACAGTCAGCTCTGAGCTGATCCGAGGCACCAGCTGACAGAGAGCAGGAGGTCAGGCCGGGACCTCCTCCGGGGCAGGCCTGACATGGTTTTCTCCCACCTCCTCAGCAGATGCTGTCACTCTTTTTTACCAGGTCGACTCTCTGCTCGCCAGTGAGGGAAGATGACCACCGCCCAACATGCAGATTGAATCTGGTGATTATACCTGTTGGTGCACCTGGTAATTTTCATCCAGCTGGTGCTAACGGCCAATCAAGATGCCACAAAAGGAGCCTTGGCATGCGCTCCTGAGGCCTGCGCTCTGCGGGAGTGTGGGAGTCCATGCGACTTGGCGTCGCAGGCCTGGCTCCCAGCAGCCGACGGCCCCGTCACGCAGGCTGCTTGCCTGTGGGTGCTCCCCCTGGGCCCTCAGCCTCACATCCCACCTAACGAAGCTGCCATCCCAGGAGGTCCCCAGTCAGGTCCTTTGAAACGTCTCATATTTTCATGCTTTTTAAAGCCAGCTGAAGAGAGTCCAAAATCAAGACCCAGATGGTCAAGGAAGCACAGCCTGCTGGGAGCGTCTCATTGACAGCAACCGTAACATGGACTCCTGCTTTCTAATTACATGGAAAATGAATTCGGAGGAAGCAGCCACCTTACTGTGGGATCTGGACACACAGTCAGCACGACACAGAAGCCCTGGGCATCTGCAGTTACTCACAGCCCGCCCAGGCTGCATGCCCTGCCAACCATGCCAGGTCCAAAAGGCATACCCCCGAGGCCTCCACACACACCTGTCTGCCCCTCCTGCGGTGCCACCCGGCCCCTGGGCAAGCAGTCTGGGGGCCCACCACCACCCACACGAGTGGACGTGGTGGCTCATGCCGGGCCCTGGCCCTAGGCCTGCTGCCCTGGGTGAGCTCGTCCCTCTGCACTTCAGCTGCTTCCAGTGTCCCCGGAGCCTGCGGCCACGCAGCCAAGGATGTGGCTGTTAACCTAACCCCAGATGGTGATCACGCTGCGATGAATGATGCTTCGGATCTGAGAGCGGGCTCCTGACAAATGACAGGAAAGGGAAGATGTGCCCTTGGGATGCCGATCCTGCTGCAGGACCCACGGCACCCTCCCAGGGCGGACGCCCATCAACCGCCAGCTAAGGACTGGTGCTGCTCAGGATGTGAGGGTGATGGGGGCAACAAGACAGGCCCCCAGCCAGATACAGGGAGTGAGGGCATCAAATCAGCGACAGCCAGAGGGACGTGACAGCACCGGGGGCACGGGGTGCACTCTCACATCAGAAACACTGAGTAGATGGAGCGCTCGATGAGGGGGTACAGCCATGTCACTGCACAGGACCTCGCTGCAAATCCTCACTAATTACCTAGGGAAAAGCGACTCTGTGGGAGGACCGGCGGGCGCCTGAGTCAGTGTTGGGCCCAGCGGACACTGTCCCCGAAGCAGAAGGAGAAGGGCCGCCTGCCAGAGGTGCAGGACCGGAGGCTGGGCAGCCAGTGCGGGGTCGCGGGGAGACCGAGACCCGCCAGGACTGAAGGGGACCCAGTGAGGCCGTCCTGATGGACGAGCGGCTTGCTCTCGGGTGGGTCAGGAATGAGTTCTTTGTGATCGCCCCCAAGGGAAAACAAAGCGAACAGACAGCTTGGCGTCTCTGTGCCCAAGGCTCCTACGTAAGAGGAATTAGTATTTCCCAACGGTTCTGGTGCAGGAATCAAGATCTCGTTCACAGGGGCGAGACGTGGAAGAGAAGTGAGAGCAAGTTGCCAGATTCTCTAGAACAGTCAGAGTCAAAAGGACCAGCCACTCCCGGTTTTAAGGTTCAGATGATGTTTCTGAAAATCTTAAAGGTGATTGTTAGTGAAATTAAAGCAGGATGCGTTCCTTCCGTGATTCCGAGGAAGACAAGCCATGGAACCCTAGTCTCCCTATGAACCAACCCAGAGTCATGGTTGTGAACACAGAAAATGGCTGTGCAAAGGGCCAGGGAGTTCCGGTGGAGCTCCAGGGCTCAGAGGCCTCTGAACGTCACAGCTGAAGGGGCGCAGCTGGCCATGCTGGGCCAGCCAGAGGGCACGAGAAGAATGACTGGTTTTTAGTACATTTCCCCCCCAAAAATAACAAATAGAAGTTCTACTTACTGCTCCGAGCATGATTCTGAAGATCAGCCACCGAAAGCCCCACACGACAATCTGGGATGTGGGGGTCCCTCGGGGCAACCGAGACAGAGTCCAGAGGGGGCACAGGAAGATTCCCAGGAAGCCCGTCTCCAGAAGCTGGGACTCCCATCCTGGAACAACGACAGGGAGAGAACACGAAGGGGCACATTAACAACAGCCAGGCATTTGCCAACGAAACAAGTCCCCAGACCCAGGTCAACTTAAACAGGCCTGAAAACAGGACAGACGGTGCCACTGAGGGTGCATCTCAGCCCCGAGTCCAGACGCCTCTCTGTGGCAGCAGTGGGACTGCGCGGCAGGGCCCAAGCCAGCCTCCTGTCCTGGCAGGGTGCTGCGGAAACGTGACGTGAGCCCCATGCTGAGCACGCACTGCCAGTGGGCCTGTGGAAGCCTTTCCCGTTCAACGGGCTTGCATGTGAGATCACAGCTGTGCGTGTCCTCCCTGAGGAGCAGCCACCAGGATGGACAGCGTGCGCGAGGCCAGCAGCCTGCACACGAGGTTCTGCAAGCAGAGCTGTCTCTGGTCCCTGCCACCCAGGGGAGGGAGGAAGCCAGGCGGAGAAGCAGGCGGAGGTGGTGGAGGTGACAGGGGCTTCGTGAGACGGCCTCCTGTCAGCCCCGCAGGGCGCAGCCCGGCACAGCGGCAGCTCTTTGGTGGGTGTGGGGCCTTCACTGACTCTCCTGCTGGGAACCCGCCATGGGCTGTGCAGGAGCTCAGCCCAGGTTCTCATCCTCACAGCAGAGATGGGCACTCCAGGTTCTGGTAAAAACTCACGGAGTCGGCCCCCATCATGGAAACCCCTGCTCACACTGCGTCACAGGAAACCCGGGGCCTGGGACAGGTGTCAGGCTGTCACCAACTCAGCCCTTCAGAAGGAACCTGCACTTTGTTTTGTGTATTTCATCCTGTTTTGACAAATCTCAGAAACATTATGCTGCGTGAAAGACACTGTAGACAAGAGTACATACTCTAGGGTTCCACTTATAGAAGGTTTGGAATGAGCAAAACTGAGGCAGGTGAGAGAAAGAGGAACATGGTTGCCTGGAGAGGGCGGGCGGGGGATGCTGGGTGACATTGTGCCCTGGTGGGGTCATGGGGGTGCACTTGCCAAGACTCATCGAGGCACCTTAAGGTTTGTGCATTTCATTGTTTGTAAATTTCTTTCTCAAAAAAACCAAATAAAAGTACAAACCCTAGAGTTTAGGGCTAGATGTGCAGATCTTGATGTCTGCAACTCACGTGAGATGCCCTGAACATCAGGACGAGGAAGGAACAGATGCGTGACATGGCTGGTGGGACAAGGGACAGCCGCCCCAGGAGCCAGGTGGGGGCTATGGGCTTTCACTGTACACTTGTTTGAGACTTTCTGTAGTCTGATATTTTTCATAATAAAATGGGGGGTAGAAATCCCATTGACTCTCATGTGTTCTGTGGATTTCTGAAACCCCAGTTCCAAATCAGTTCTTCTTTTGGAGAGAAATGAGTCAGTTTGCTACAAAGCAGTGTCCGAGAGCAGCAGTGCCCAGCTGGAAGGGCAGCGAGTCTCACCCTGGATGGGTGAGCGTGGCGTCTCCATGGGCTCACTGCCTTGGCTGACCATGTGCAGCTGTGCTGGGGACTCTGGAGCCACCAGTGTGCACCCTGCACCTGTCTGGAGATGATTCCAGAAGCAGAAAGAAGCTGGGAGGGTCCTGGGGGATGGGGCCGACGGGAGGGGGTGAAGTGAGGTAGGCAGCCGGAGCCCACTGCGCCACCATTGCTGCAGCCGGCCTGATCAGTCATGGCTGGGGGCCTGCCGGCACAGCTGTCACCCGACGGGAGAGGGGAGCACAGAGCAGCAGGGCACTCTGGCCAAGGCTGGCCAGGGGAGACGTCAGTGCCACCCTTCTGCAGGGACTCGAAGCCTGGGATGCCCACGTGGGCTCAGCCCGGCCCCTCCAGGGCCCACCTGCACCCCACCAGAACCGAGCACACCCCCGACTTCCCTCGGAAATTCGGGAGGAAAACACAGGAATCGCCTGCACTTCTTTTGCGTCACGAGATTCAGACACAGACCAGTTCATGCAAGTCAAGTCCTCCTCGGCCTGCGCACGGTGAGAGCCGTCTGCTTTACAACCTCTCCACACCCCCTGCTCGTGTCAGGCAGGAAAGGACAGACTTTGTTCCCGATGCGACAACTTCTCTAGTTTCATCTCGAGAGACGATTTTCATGGAGTCTGGCCATGAGTCGCTGGGGTACATTTTATAATGAACGTGATCCTAGGCCCCAGGACACCGCGGAACATGGAGTGGCTACTGTCACGGCTCGAGTGCACTCAAGGACAGATACTTTTGCTTTTTGAGAAAAGGACCTCCAAGGCCACTTGTTCCCACCCATCCTCTACCTGCCGGTGAGAAAACTCAGGGAACGAGAGGCCCTGCCACCACGCGGCCCCGCGGCAGGGCAGGCAGACTCGGGGTGTTTGGCAGGGCCAGGTCGGGCACCGAGAGCCTGGGGGCGCCGCCGCCCCACAGCAGGTTGCGCCCCACAGCTCCACAGTGCCAAGCCTGCCTGTTCACACGCTGAAACCCTCATAGACGCCGAGGCGCTCACACGGGCGGGCACAGCGCTCCCCAGGGCCGGCCTGCCTTCTCTAACTGTCACCGCTCCGCACAGACGTGAGGAGCAGAATTTTAATACGCAGTTTGAGTGACACCAATCAAAGTGACATGCAAATGGCAGAGCCCAGAGACCCACCTAAGTGCCAGGAAGCGGGTGACAGGGGACACGTTGTCACCTTGGGGATGAACGTGTACTGGCAGTGGGTCACCTGGCCCTCCTGCCTCCTTCTGAACCTGCCAGAACATTCCTTGCCCTGCTGGGGTGCATGGAGCCAGGTGTGCGGGACCCTCTGCCTCTACCCCATCCCCATCTCGCTGGAGGCGTTTTCAAGACCCAAGCTGCAGTCCAGCCACCAGTGCTCGCGGACACCCCTGGGCAGGAAAGGGTCGCCGGCAGGCCCACCTGCTCCTGCGTTCTTGCTTGGATCCTGCTGGTCCTCGGCAGCTGTGCTGCTCACACAAGGAGCGCCATTGTTCTCTGCCTCGGTGTGGGGGAGGCATCTCCAGGAAAACACAGGCCCAGTGCGCTGCCCGGTGTCCTCCCGCGGCCGAGAGGCTGTGTGCCTACGGATGGCACAGCACACTGCCAGGGCATCGCCTGCTGGGCTGGGCAGGGGACAGCCTAGAGGACGTGCTCACAACCGTGACAAATGCCGACCCGAACAGTTAAGAGGTTCCACTATGAGCCTTTGATCAGCTGGAAGTCCCTACTCAGGGGGCCCCCTGTGCCCAGACCCTTTCTGGAGGGATACAGGTCCCCAGCTCTTCCACTTGGTGCACAAACACCTACATAACAATTTCAGTTCGAGGGGGCCCTGGAAGGTTCTACCGCATTGGATGTTTCTTGGGGACAGTCCATCGATGGCCTCCAGGTCGGAGAGCAGCAGCTCAGGCCTCTGCATGCTTGGACAAGCCTCGGCCAAGCAGATGCGAGCGGTCAGAACAGGCGGACGCTCTCCCCGCTCTTGCTCTCTAGGCTTACGCTGCTGAACAACTGTTTAAAACTCCAGGGCACGGGGCGCCTGGCTGTGCCTGCCAGGCAGCCACACACGGCATCTGAGCAAAGGCCCATGACACGAGCTGAGTTTGGACCCTCGGCATGTTTAGACAGAAGCACAGATCCTTGGGCTCCTGCTCAGCTTCGGATCTGGGGTCCCTCACTCCTCTGCCCCGCTCGGGGCACCTGCCCCCCAAATACAGCCAACGTGGAAGTGCTGCTCACGTCTCCCTCTCCTCAGGGCCGTGGGAAAGAGTGCAGACACTGTTCTACTGAGGGCCCAGGACACCCACCACCCAGAGGCCTGCCCTGTGCCTGGAGACGCGGGGTGCACGGCCCACAGGCATTGCACCCTCACGGTGACAGCACGGTGCGGCCTGGCTGCTCCTCCAGGAGAGTCCTGCTGACTGTCTGCTCCGGGTGGGAAGAGTGGAGACAGGGAGGCCAGCAGACACACTGCGGCCGACAAGAGGGCCACTGGGCTGTGGGGGCTCAGAGGGTGGGCTCGCGCCAGGCCCCTGGGGAGATCGCCCAGAATCAAGGTCAACTCACACAGGCCAAGCCGCCTCTGACCAAGGAGGCAGATGTCACCTGAACATCATCTCAGAGGTGGAAGCCGCCAGATGCCCGCTCCAGAAGAAAATACTAACCGAGATCTCGTTACCATCCTCGAAACTATTACAGTTACTTAGAAAGAGCAATTAAATATTGCACGCACAGATCCTTCAAAAGTGACAGCCACCATCCACGTGAGAACGGGAAACCCATTAGCTTCACGGTTAAAAACAAGGAAAAGGAGAAAAGCGCTTCCCTCCTGATGGGCTGTCACTCCTGCGCCGAGCGCCCGCCCTCGGCCGCCCGCCCCGGCTCCTAATGACGCCCTGGAGAGCGCCTGGAGCTCGAAGAAGTGACTATGTGGATCTCCGTGGGTTACGTCTCAGGTCTCGTCTGCACAGCCACCAACGTGGCAAAGGTGGGCTGTTGGCTGCGGAAACTCAGTGGCCATTTTTGTGCTCTGGGATAAGAAAGCCCCACATCGCAGTTCCGGGGTGACCCCGCCTCTCACAGGTAGCGACCCCTCCTTGGTCATGGAGCACCAGACCTCACGTGTAGGAGGGCTCAGGAAAGCCAGTGCGTGAGACAGGGCGGGGGGTGGTGCACACTGCAGGGTGACGGGTCAGCTGTGGGAGTGCCAGCATCCTGGCCCGCTGTCCTTGGCACCACCTGGTGGTGGGGGACACTCAGACTCTGGCATCAGCAAGGATGGTGCTGGGTCCTTCTTACTGCCCCGCCTGGGGTCTCATGGTGGGCGTGTGCCCAGGTCCAACGGGCCAGCAGCAGTTGCTGGGGAGGGCACAGGGCGGGGGAGCCCAGGCACACAGCATGGCAGTGTGGTGGCAGGGCCAGGCGGGCAGCTCAGACTTCACTCAGCAGGTGCTATGACACCAGGTGCCGTTCACTCTGATCCCGGGTCCCCCTCAGCCGACCTCAGATGGCGGGAGAGGCACTCAGATTCCACAGACCAAGCTACAGAGGGCCGCCTGGGTCTGTGTCTAAAAGGTAGGGCCCACCATCCCGGGCTGTCCATCATGAGGGAGGCAGGCCACCCCCACTGGGCCATGTGAACCTCACAGGCGCTGGGACCTGAGTCACCGGGAACATCACTGACTTTGTCTGTGGTCCACGAGTGCATGGCCCACGGACTCCGCTTCTCCGTGCATCTCTGACTCAGTGAAAGCACCTTGCGTGGTTAACGTCTGCAAAGCGCACGCCTCTAACAAAGGCCCGTCCTTGGCACGTCTTGCAGGCTCCAAGCAGCAAGCAAGGTCCCGGCGGAGGACAGAGCCTTCCCCTCTCGCTTGAACAACTGAGGTGGCCGGGGACTCAGGGTGTGCCTCTCACAAGTCCTGACAGCTCTGCCCCCGCGACGTCACTGTTCCACAAGGCCAGGCCTGAGTCTGCATCACTGTTGCTCACTGTGTGTGATGGAAACGCCACTCAGGGAAAGTGCATTTTGAAAGCAGAGCTACGGTCAGGAGTGTGCACCCCCTGAGCCTGGCCCACATGCAGAAGCCACCCCGCCCAATCAGGCCACAGCAGGCTCTCGAGGGGGCCCGTTGGAGCCCCGACTTCTGTGGCGTGGAGCCACGGATCAGTGAGAGGACAGTCCTCGCTGCCTGCCGTGTGTCTCCCTGAGAGAAGGGCAGGGGAGGGAGCCTCCCTGATACTGTGCGTCAAGTGCCGCCTGCCCAGCTGCCACCCAGACGGGAGCTGGGAGAGCCGCGTGCTGCCAGTTACTGCTACAAACACCGCTGTCGTGACAGGCGCATGATACCAACCGACCGGCTAAGACGCTTTCCTCTCTCACTGAGACAAAATGCAAAAGGAGATCAAGTGAAAAACGTAAGGGAAGCAGAGACAGAATCTGAAGGCGAACTCCTGCCAGTGTTGGAACCAGGCTCCCATTATGGAGCATCCGTGTGGCAAGTCATGGGGGCCACCCCACAACCTGCCCACACCTGTCCAGCCGAGAGGAGGAATCCCCACCTGGCCTGCTCACCTGGTCATTTCCCTCTTACACCCTGTCACCATGGCAACCAGCCACACCAGGAGGTGCCACACGAGCACCTGCAGGGAGGGTGCCGTCGGAGGGCCTTGCAGGAGCCCACTGCCCTTCCAGCTGTCAGAGTGACCTGCCAGAGCTGCCCTTGCCCTAAGGGGACAGACTCGGGCTCATCCTTCTTTCTAAGGGGCCGGGAGGCACTGACACTGGCGACACCCCAGAGATGGGGTCATGCTCCTGCCGCCTCCCTGGCCTTGGCCTAACTCACTCATGCTGGCCTGGTCTGGAGCCTCCTGTGCCCCTTGCCCCCCGCCTGGTCCCAGGACCCACTCAAAGCCAGGCCTGCCCAGGAATCCTCCAGAAACAGCTGGAGCTGGGCGGGTCTCTCTGAACATGAGCCCCATCTGTCCAGCCACCTGGTCACATCTCGCATCAGGAGAATGTGGCATGTAAGGCTGGCTTTGCTGTTCTTGCTATTGGGCAGCCGATGAGAAGCACATGGACACAGCCTGACCGCTAAAAGGAAAAGCTGGCCACGGGACACTGTGCATTTCAGCTGATGAGATCTAAGCCAGAGATCAGATGGTGAACGGGAGCACATTTTCTAGCAAGCAGGTATTTTTGAAAGAGCTGGTTAAAGGCTTCATGCTTTAAATAAAATCATTTTAAATTGCATGCTCCCAATTATGAAGCGTTTAGCAAATTGTTAATATACGTTTTAAGGATTCCTTGGGCTCTGCTGGGAACAGGAAGTGACCCGTGCAGCCCGCCCACCTGCACGGTGACCCTCCGTCCATGGTCCTGGTTAACAGTTGCTGTGGCAACCAGACTTCCTAGCCCCAGGTGTCCCCTGTTGCTTAGATCTACAGGTGTCACCAGCCAGCCCAAAACAGAGTCCACAGTAATGACCTGAGGTGGCTTTATTGGTTTTGGATAAATAGGAAAATACTTCCTGTCAACGGAAATTAGACATAGCCCCAAAGATTTTTAGGGTTAATATATTCCAAATATTTAATGTACATCAGGCTGAAGGGCATGCTGCATAACCATTCCTTTGTCTTTTGTTTCCTGGGCATGAAAAGTCGCCCAAGCTTGTCTCAAAGTGACTGTCAGAATCCCAAAGAAGTGCCGGCCACCGCTGTCCACAGGACTGTCTACAGCGATGGGAACATTCCGGATCTGCCTGTGCCGTTGGTGCCCACTGGCCACAGGGGGCCGTTGAGGGCTTGAAATGCGGCTTGAGGGGGACGCAGCAGCCCCAGACCCTGCTCTGGCCAGTCCGAGAGGCACATCTGCTTGAGGCGCTGTGTGTCCACAGCCCTGCATGGAATGGGTGGCCAGGCTAGCACCCTTCCAGCAGCCAGGCGAGCTCCCACCCACATGCACCCCAGGCCCCATGACCACCGAAATGGGGTGTCACCCTACCCCACATCTGAGCAGGCTATCAGCACGTGCGCGTCTGTGCTCACTGAAGTGGGGTGTCACCCTACCGCATATCTGAACGGGCTGTCAGCATGTGGGCCATCTGTGCCCGCTGAAATGAACCCCACGTCTGAGCGGGCTGTCAGCACATGGGGCATCTGTGCCCGCTCAAGTGGGTGTTGCCCTCGTCCCCACATGATCTTGTAAGGATGACCCAGTTGCAATCATAGCTTTTCTGAATCTTCCCCACACACTCAGTGAACACTGTTTCCGGGCGTCCTCAAGGCTGCTGACGGGCATGCACTTGTCACATGAGGGAGGGTGGGGCCTCGCTCACGGGAGAGGTTGGCAGGTCTGGTCATTACATAACACATGTGCTCGTCAGAAATGATGGGGAGGGCCAGATCACCTGGAAAGTAGGAAGGAGTGACACATACTTCTCCACGTGGCACATACCTAGGTCAGAGGTCAGGGTGGCCATCCAGCCTCTGCCCCATGCAGACACCATCTCCACTGGGGGTCGTGCAGTGGACACACCAGCGTTCTTCCTTCCCTCCCTACAGCTCTGTCTGTCCACATGTCCTAACAAGTAGACGTGTGTCCCAGCTGGCTTCCCCATCCCTTTGAAAGAGAGTTCTGTCTGGCCCTCCAGCGAGGTCAGCGGTGACAGGCAGCTCCTGCATCCAGAGGCCAGGATGCTGCTGAGGCGCAGCCCACCCCACAGACCATACACACACAGGGACGAGGGGGAGGGCAGACGTTTCGGCCACAGAGCCAGGGCCCAGTGGGCATGGCCGCAGCCACAGTCTCGCTCAAGTCACTCACAGAGGAGCCTGGGGTGGTGGTTCAGCAACTCGGGGAGGGGCAGTGACACCCTCAGGCTTCACGTCCTCGATGCATCAGGGAGCATTTCAGAAATGCTTCCTCCAGAAGGATCAGCATACAGGAGAAGGTCAGCTGATGTAGGTCATCACGGGAAATGCCACAGGAGTGACCCCAGAGAGACCGCAGGAGAGGACGGGACCGGTCAGAGCCCACTGATGGCCTCGTGCCCCCCTCTTCTCTTCCCTGGGGTCTCCTTCCTTGCTGGAGGCCCAGGCCCACCTTTAGTCTCTGCCCCAGCACCCATCCGTACGGCCCTTTGGTCACGTCTCTGCTCAGATGCCCCCTCTCAGGGGGGGCCTTCCCTGGACATGAAATTTACAACTGGGCCTCAGACCATCCTGACAGGGCATACCCAAGAACACTCTCACCACACGACATACTGCACGTCTCACCTGTTTCCACTCTCCATCCGTTCTGCACCCCGAATGCAGGCTGCAAGCAGACAAGGCAAAGCATCCACAATCAGCAGGTTCAGGATGTAAAGGAAAATGCACTGATAAGGCATAAACAGACGGGAAAACTCGGCAGAGAAACAGAACTGTAAAAAAAGAACCAAACAAAGTCTGGAACTGGAAAGGAAAACCTGAAATTAAAGTTTTACTAGGTGAGCTTAACAGCAGATTGGAGGACAGAGAATAAGAGGTAGTGAACATGAAGACGGCCCAGAGTTACCCAAGCTGGAGAACAGACGCTTAAGAAGGAGAGGAGGGAGAAATGGAGCAGGAAAAACTGAAAAACACTGGCAAAAATTATCCAAATTTGGTAAAAGACATAAATTACAGATTCAAGAACCTCAGGGAATCATAAGCAGGATAATATCCTCCCAAGGATGCATGTGTAGGCACGTCGCAGCCATCTGCTGCAGACCAAGGACACAGCCTCCAGGGCAGACAGAGAAGACTGGAATTCCCACTCAGAGAAGTGACAGGGTGCACGACAGCCGACTTCCTGCAGCCATGGCGGAGGTGGGGAACCGCGAGCCAAGGGGGCAGCCCCCCCCCCCACCAGGCTGTCTGTGCTGAGCTTAGAGCCCCGAGTCCATCAGCTTTCCCAACAGCAAGATGCCCCAACTGTGTGCACAGGGCGAGTGTTGAGCACAATCAAAGATTTCAGAGGAAATACGCACTCAAGCGATCCCGTGCCGGGGTGAAGGGAAACCCATGGCCCTCACTCAGTGGGACACTCAGCCGTCTGCCTCAGCAAGGCACGGACAGAATGCTGGTCATCATCACAGACTGTGCTTAGAAGGTACACTGTAAAAAACACGGACCATTTTCTTTTGGACATAAATCAAAAACGTAAGATTTTGCCTTAAGTGCCTTATATTAGTAACGACAGAGATGAAAACGGTACTACCATCGTCATAAAAATGCTGTGGCCTGTAAGTGAGAAAACAGAGGCCTCCCTAATGTTAACTGTCTAAGGTCTGTGTTCTGATTTCAGTTTTCAGACATGCTGAGTCCTCTAACTGTCATTCACACAGGTAACTATGGCCCTTCCCCTCCAGCCACCAAAACCAAGGAACTCTCGTGTGGAACGAACAGGACACGAGTGCCCTGCAGAGAGCTGTCCGCTGGGCAGGTCCCTGGGAAAGTCAGCCGGGCAGCTTGGCCGGAAGCGAACCCTCCCTCCTCACTGGGTGCGCACAGACGAGGAGTCCTGCGGGTTCTCACGCAGACCCAGTCTTGGCACAGAGCAGGTACAGTCCTGCACGGTGGGAGCAGTGGCTGGCTGGGGGCAGGAGGGAACTTTCCGGGGTGATGGTGTATGTCTGGATCTCCATGGGAGTCTGGACAACACAGGTGTATGCAACTGTCAAAACCCTAAAAATGTATATTTAGGATCTGCACATTTCATCGTGTGAACTCTTTGTCAAGGGAAAAAGCCGCCACACACTGAGCTCTGGTTAAGGGTCTGCACACTGAAGCCTTTGTTATTTAGGGCAAGTGCCCTGATATCTGGCATTTACTTTGAAATCTATCAAAATATATGATGAAACTATGGAATCTAGGTGGCCCACATACGGGTTTTTACTACACAATTCTTTCAGCCTTCACAGTATGCTTTAAGTTTTCTGTAATTACATGGTTTTGAAAGTCCCATTCAACACCAACCCACATGGAGGTCTTAGCCATAGCAAAAATGAGAGAAACACAGAAAAGTTATAGGGTTTGAAGTGGGAAAAAATACGATTGCCTACATAGAAGTTTTTTTTTAAAAAAGAAGAGAATCTACAGAAGGTGAACTCTACTACTGAGTGGTGTCAACAGAGTGACTAGAAATGACGTTAAAAGGAGTCCTCTAGGGTGTTTGGGAACCAAGTCATTCTGGACATTGATAAGTAAAGGGAAAGAACAAAGAGTTTAGTCTGACTCTCCTGGAGAAACTGGATTTGGAGCAACCAAGCAGTTGAGGGCAAGTTTCTTTGATAAAAAGCCCCTGATAACAAAAGCCAGCAGAGTGACAGACTTAGAACACTGCCCCCTGCAGACCCCATGGACGAGTGCAGACAGTGACCACGGAGCCCACAGGGCCCTTTGGCGCGGCTGATGGAGAACTTTCTGACAGACAGACGGATCAGGCTGCCAAGGCCTGGCGCCTCAGCCACCTTCCTGCGGCAGGAAGCGGGGGCAGCCTGGGCCCTCTGACCACCACGCCAGACAGGCCCACACCCGTCCCTGCCAAAAGCAAAGCCGACTGACGCAGCCAGCCCAGGGGATGAGGGCCGGGGACACCCGGCCTGGAGGGAGCCGCCAGCCAAGCAGGACGAACGGTGCTCCCTGAGTCTGAGACACGGCGGGACACGACTCCGCAGCCGGGAAGGCAGAGGACAGACGGCTCTAAAGAGACTGGAAGGGCACATCCGTCAAGCGGGTCGGATCCCTCCTGGGACAAACCTATGCGACGAGTGGCAACACTGGCACACTGAGTAAATATTTGATAGAACTCATCCTAACTTTTTGGATGTGATGACGGTATTGTAGTTACTTTGATCTTTCCGAAGCACGTAATGAAGTCTTTCGGAATGGAACAGGGAATGCCCGGATTGTACGTAACGGAGCAGAAGGGGAGGGCAGCAAACGGCAGCCTGGCCGGTGCCGGAACTGTGCGCCGAGACGGCACCCGGAGGTGCAGGCCGCCCTTCGCTTCACTTTCATATTAGTTGGAACTTTTTCATAACCAGAAGTTAAAGAAAAACAAACAAGGAAGGAATTCTCCCCTCTTCTGCGTGGGATGTTTAAAACTGACCACCGGCATTCCCACGAACCATAATAAACCAATTGTGAAATGCCGTGTCTTAAAGTGCCATTTGCTCTGGAAGCCAAACTTACAGTGACTACGAGAACAAGCCTTTTAAAAAGTATTTACAAGCTTTATGGAGAAAGTCACTAAACATCATAGAAGGTCATAAAAGATTAAACAAACACAATGGAGTGAGCGTGCACTTTACAGAAGAAGAAACCGTAAGAACAGCTGAGTGTCGTCGTCCCCGGAAGTCGGGACACAACTGCCCGTGGTGGTGAGGCTACAAAACTCTTCAGGTGTTACTCTAAAAACAATTAAACAAGATTTTTTTTTCCAAAACAAGACAGGAGATCTACTTTTCAGAGTGACTGGTTTCCCCGAGGAAGCTAAGAATCGGAGCCTGACATGGGACTGATGGAAACTTCTTCGACTGGGTTCCGATTTAGAGGGTACTCACCTGGGGCTGACACAGAAGTCAGGAGTGAGCAGAGCCACATGCTCTGCATGGCCGGACCCCCGCCGGACCCCGCTCAGTGAAGCAGCCCTTCCGACAGGGGGGGCCTCACGTGGGCCCGCAGAGGGAAAGGCAGGACGGAGCACTCTGGTAACGCAGTGGCCACGTCCTCCGAGAAAACTGTAGGGTTTGCTCCAGGTCCACGTCCACGTGAGGGAGGGTGCGTCCCACCCGGGCGTCCTGCCCCCAAACCAGAGAGCCCACGCCGTGCGTGCAAAGCCCCCACGCCGGCCACAGGCTCCACGCCTGTCCCTGTCTGCCACATACCTGCAGGCCACCTGCACTCCTCCTGACGTTTCTCAGCTGTTATTTTCACTGGGGATTATGAGTATAATTGCTGCTTCTGGCACAATCAAAAGGAAAAAAAAGGAAGAGAATTGTCCATTTACTGCAGATGAGCCAAATGGATTTAATGGCACCAACTGTCCCTAATCTGGGTCCTGAAGTCGAGTGACTGCATGCGGAGGGCAAGACTTCATCAGCGGACACTGCATAACAGTGTCTATTCTGAAACGCTGACGCTTGTCTGTCGTATGTAAACAGGGACAACGCAGACCCACTCCCTCTGTCGCTGTAACAGGCAGCACTCGACACCGAATTAAAACCTGACGTGAGTCTCTCCCAACATCACACTCACACAGGTTCAGAATTTAGGAAGGAGGTGCCCAGAAGACCGCGAGGCTCGGGCCTCACTTACACGGCTGAGCAGCAGGATGAGAATCGAGGTCTCGCCACCTGTGTCCCTGTGTCATCCCCTAGGTCCTGCTGCCTTTCCAGGCACATCAGACAGCTCTCACTCAGAGGAAAGGAGATTCTCGCCATCAGAAGATGCAAAACCCGCAACCCAGCACAAACACAGCAGGGACAAGGGCGTTAAGCTTGCGAGGCCCTGAGGAAGCGCCAAGCGCTGGCCAGGTCCTGGCTATCACCACCCCCCCCACCCTAGTTCTGCAGACCCCCCAAAGCGCCCTCAGAACAAGACAAGAAGAGACTGGTTAAAAAGCACTCTGTGGGTCTCCACTCCCTACGCGGCCCAGCCACACTTCCACGCCCGAGCTGGGCTTCAGTGAAAGCCCGAGTCCTGAAACCATCATTGTCCTGGTTCATCAGCCCCCTCCCTGCCTATGAGGACAGGACGCCACCTCACGGATGACCCCCCGGGACCCTCCGCTCTCTCAGTTACCAGCTGTCTCCAGCGCCAGCTGTGGAGTCCAGGCAATGTGTCCAGCGCCTCCTGCTGGGAGCGGTGCAGACCGCAGGTCAACCCTGGGACGGGCCCCAGACAGAGCCTCGGGTCCTCCTCGGCGGCTCGACACCCGACCGCCCTCCACAGACCTCCGCCCTCCCACATCTCCAGCACTGGCAGGTCACCGCAGACCCGCTCAGAACGGGGCCCTGAACCTCACTGCTTCCTGCCTCTCCCACAAGCTGTTCAGACCCCCCAGGGAGGGAAGTGCGTTTCCACCAGGCCAAGGCACTCCTTCTCCAACTCGATGACCAGGCCAGTGAGTCCCCCACCTTGGGACGGCCCCTCAGCCAGAGCCACACCCATCCCCCCCACTCTGGCCCCATCCCCCACAACCCCCATCCTTAGAAGCCTGTCCATTGTGAACACTGGCTCCACCTGCTCTGTGCCCAGCTCGCACCTGTTCACCTTTGGATTTCATTTTATTAAAACTAATTTATTAACACTGATTTCATTTTACTAGAACCAATTTATTAAAACTAACTCATCCTTAACTGTAAGCAAAAACTTTCACTGAAGATAAACTGTTACTAGAGATAAGAAAGAAAAGTGATCTGCTCATCCACAGATAAAGCTCGTTAGCCCCTTGGTCATGGATTTCAAAATAGTTTTGATAGATCTTTTTAGAGGCAAAAATGGAACAAGAACACACTGTTTAAAACCCATTTTAGCACACAATTATATTTTCTTATCAGATTGTATCGTAGTATTGAGTCGCATTACATAGTAATCCATGGAGAAGATGGAAGTTTATTTAACTAACTCTCCACGGCCAAACCCTCCGGAGGCTCCTTCCTCCTGCCATGAGCAGAGCTGGCGCCCCCGCTCCGAGTCCTTCTGCCCCACCCCGGCCCTGCTGCAGGAGCCCTGAAGGGGGGCTGGGGACCCGCAGGCACGGATGTTCTGTAGGCACGTCGCTGTGCGGCCACACTGTCCTCCAGGGAGGTCACACCCACTCACTGGCTCCCGGGGCGCCCAGCCCCACAACCCACGGCCCGCCTAATCACAAGGAACACCAGACAAGCCCAACCTGTGCACATTCCACCAGATACAGGACCAGAACCGCTCAACACTGTCAAGGTCATGAAAGACCAGGGAAGTCTGGAGGCCGCCACAGGACCAGAGGGGACAGGAGACGCGACGACTCAGTGCACTGTGGTCCTGGAGGGATCCTGGACAGGCCTGGGTGGAAGGGCGGGGAACCAACAGAAGTCTGCAGTTCAGGCAAGGGCCGCGCCATGCCGATGGCTCCGTTGTGACCACCGTTTAGTGCTCCGGTCGTGTGAGATGTTGACATGAGGGGAAGCTGGTGAACGTCGATGGGGCCTCGGCACTACCTTTGCAGCTCAGAAACGATGCCAAGACCGTCTTTCTAAAGTGCTGCTGACACCACTTCACAGGTAGAAGCTGGAGCCCTGGTCAGCGCCTGGCTCAGCTGGGCCTCAGCACAAGGACGCACCCGAGCACCACAAAGAGGACGGGGACTCAGGGGCCCTGCCCTGGACAAGAGCCTGGGAACAGAGCGTGGCCGCGGCCGCCGTCAATCCTGCGGTCACACGGCTGTTGCCGAGCTGGGCATAGCTCACGGGGCCAGGCCCCTGCCGCCTCGCCCTGGGGTCGTGGTTTCCATCCACCGCTGCCTGTGGCTGTGCTCAAGCAAGTGACGGCGGACGTTCCGCTCGGCGCCTCCCGGGGGCTGGTTCACCGTGCTGAGGAGGAAGGGCTGCCACCTCCCCAGACCTGAGGGCTGCCACCAAAGCCAACAACATCGCTGAGGGGGGCTCTGCGGCTTTGACACAGTGATCTCTCAGGAACACCAGAACGCACACAGCAGTCGTGCTGGCAGTTCTGGGTCCAGGAGACGTGTGGATGAAAATCAAGAAAACGAATAACCAGGTTTCTCGATGCAGCGTGCCCCTCAGCACCGAGCAAGCCTCCCAGGCCGCGGCAGCCTCCAGCAGGTGCGATGTTTCCTTCAAGAGTGACGATGGAAGAGCACACGGGGCCACCGGACCGTCTGCCTGCTCATGACATCTGCATGTGGATCCAGAGGCTCTCGTCACGGATCAGCCAAGCGTGGTCAGACCCCTGCCTGTCCTGTGCGCTGCAGGACAGTGGGGAACCAGGCAGAGCCCCGGCCCCCACGGGGCTGACAGTCTGGAGGGAGGAGGCGGGAGAGACGATAAACCGACATACATGCAAAGATTCACGTCAGAGGTGGCAAGCGGGAGAAAACCCAAGCCAAGCCCAGGCTGGGGCACGCCCGCCCCACAGGGGCCAGAGGCACGGGGGGGGGGAGAGGTGCGCAGGTCCGGGGTCCCCCAGCCGCAGCAGCCAGTCCCGAGGCTCGTAAGTGCTCGAAAAGCTCAAGAGACATTCATCTAGGCTGAAACCCAGTGGGAAACCGGCAGTTCTCTGCCTCCTCAGAGGGGTGTCACTGAGACCAGCTGGTACGCCCGAAATGATGCAGCGTCCTGCTTTAAGATGTGTAACAGTCTTGATGAGAGGAGGACACGGCCACCAAGAACAGGTTCGCTAGATGCACTTGGGAACCATTAATGGTACTAAAACCGCATCAGTATCTGTGTCTCCATTCAGTGAATCCACACAGACAAGAGCCGCTATTGTAACAGCAACAAAGCATGGCTTCCTCGCTTAGAATTTCTGTTTTAAAATATCAAAGCATTTACAAAAGAAACTGGCACACAGCTGCTACTCCAGGGCTAACCTAACAATGCCTCTCCCTGTTACTTGCGTTGGCAAAGGTCAGGCTCGCCGACGCCGTGTTCCTTTCGCATCCAACAATGGGGCACTGGAACCAGGAAGCTCCAGGGACACACAAGATTCTGGAGGTTCCAGGCCAGCCCATGGCCGCAACGGTGTCTGATGAGACCAAACGCCCTTCTCTGGCCTCTCAGCTGCTCACGGCGATTCAGGACACACAGCGTTTACTGGGCAGGGAAGCAGCACAGGGCCATGCGGACAAAGTCAGCCTGGCTCCCCCTGCCTCAGACAGGCGAGGGCTGATGCTGGAGAAGGAGAAAGAAGGGCCCGTCCACTACTGCCTTTGGCTGTCTGCACACAAACGTGGTCAGGAAAGGGCTTAGGATGATCTTCCCTGGGATGCCACTCCAGAGCACACTCGGGAAGAAGGCAGTGGAGGAGCGGCTGGGTCTCCGAGCCTCACCCCCAGCACAACCAGGCACCTGCCCCAGAGCATAAGGATCCTTAGGATGCAGAGAGGGACAAATCAGTCAGTGGTAGCCAAGCCGGCAAAGAGTTAACTTGCCCCACAGTCTCCAAATCCAGAGACCTAAAAAGCCTCCACCCCAGGTGGTAACAGAGAAAGCTCCCGAGCAGAAATCTCCAGGAAGGTGGGAGAAGGAATTGATAGATACCTAATGTGTTTGATTCAGTAAAAACCAGTATTGGGAGTGCTCCAGCAGTTGTGCTGGTGAACTTGGAACAAATTGTGGAAACATGATCAAAAATGAAAAACAAAGCAAACCAAAAAAGAAGAGGCAACTATCAACTCCAGGAAAAACGAAAAGTGACTAGAAAAAAATTATCAGACTTCACTAGTGGCTCAGTGGTCAACAAAACTGACATAGTCCCAATAATGTAAAGACTGAGTATTAGTTTAACAAAAAGTTCTATTTGTGATATAGCTATACTGAGATGGCGAGGGGAGGAGCGTTAGGGATGTGGGAGAGGAATCCTCATCATTCCTAAGAGGAAGTACAGAGATAACGTCTAAAAGTGATACACCAGGAATAATCTACATAAACAGCTTATTCAGAAACTTGGAGGCGACACCAGAAGGGCTGGAGGGCAAGGAAGAGTGGCTGGAGAACAGGAAGGGAGGTGCTGCTGTGTCTGCTGTAAGCCGCGAGATACAGTGTGACTTCCTAATCCATGCACACGTCTAACATTTTCTTTAACAATTAAAAGAACAATCTTCAGACTGTATCTTCCGGCCACAGCATAATAAAATCAGAAATTGATCAAGGAAAGGTAACCTATAAAACCCTTAGGGCTTGGGGTTTTTGAAGCTCTTCTCTAAACAGCACTTGGACCAAGAGGACGAAAGAAGCAGCAGCACTGAGGTTATAAAGCTATCTCATCTGCCCGTCAGGAGACACGGGCCGGCCAGGGGCACAGCACAGGGGAGTGGACATGGGCCGGCCAGGGGCACAGCACAGGGGAGTGGACGTGGGGCCGGCCAGGGACACAGCACAAGGGAGTGGACGCGGGGCGGGCCAGGGACACAGCACAGGGGGGGGGACACGGGGCGGGCCAGGGGCACAGCACAGGGGAGTGGACGTGGGGCCGGCCAGGGACACAGCACAGGGGAGTGGACGCGGGGCAGGCCAGGGACACAGCACGGGGGGAGTGGACGTGGGGTGGGCCAGGGACACAGCACAGGGGAGTGGACGTGGGGCTGGCCAGGGACACAGCACAGGGGGGTGGACACAGGGCAGGCCAGGGGCACAGCCAGAGGGGAGTGGTCACCTGCCTCCATGCTTTCATTAGCAGATAAGAAGAGATGGAAAATTAATGAGTTGAACGATCAACTCAAGATCTTAGAAAATAATAAACTCCTTCCTCCCAGAAGGAGGAAGCAA